ATGGGACCTCCAGCAGGTGCACCTGGGCCTCTGGTATTCCCCCTCTGAGCTGCCACCTTGAATGTCCCCAGCCCAACTTCACTCTCCCCTGCTTCCCTCTCTCCCCCTCCCTCTTCTTTCTCCCTCCTTCTCCTAGCTCTCCCCTCCCTCCCTCTCTCCCCCTCCTTCCCTCTCTCCTCCTCCTTTCCTCCTCCCTCCCCACCCCTGTGTCACACACACATGCACAGACACACACTCTAAAGCAAAGCCCGAGTCTGCCCAGTGTGCTCCTTGCCCTGCTGGAATGAAGTTGGGAGGAGCCCCCCCCCCCCCCAGCCCTGGCTTCCTCATAGCCTTTGTGTCCCACATCCTGTCTCTGCGTATCTCTCTCAGGGAAGACACAGGCACCCTAGCTCCCACTCAAGGATATGGGGTGGAGGCTCCATGAGATTTTTCTGAGTCCCTCTCAACACCCCCGTGAGCCCCGTTATAAGACCAAGTGAGCCTGGAGACCTGACAATCGATATCCCTCAAAGATGAAGATGCTAATAACTTTATCCCCTCTTGTCCTCAGATTCTTGCCTACATTAGCTCTGACCACAGGCCCGGGCAGCTGGGACCTGCAGTGGGCAGGCCTGGAGCTCAGTAACCCCTTCAGATCCAGGTGGGAAGCAAGAGGCTAGACAGCAAGAGGGACTTCCTGACATTCAGGAATGGAATGCCACGGGGATAAGACACAGAAAGCCTCTGAAGCATGTTCCTAACACCTAGATGGATACATTGGAGACCTGACTCAAATCAGTGAGGATTTGTGACCTCCAAAGCACTCCACAGGTGAGCCAAGGTCCATGTCTAATCCCTGAGGGCTGCCAGGAGGAGGCAGACAGGGAAGGGAGGTCTCCCTGGGGAAAATCGGAGGGTTGAAGTTGATGGGGTCGCTCTGGCCCTCCCTCCCTCTACCAGGGCTGTTGGGGCAGCCCAGGGACCTCAGAGGGAGGAAGAAGCCCCTTCCTCACTTCCCACGCCCCACAGCCACCTGAGTCCTCTCTGGAACAGCTGCAGCCAGACGGCTGGTCGGGACCAGGCAGCAAGAGCTTGTCTTCTGTGAGCAATGACCCCGCAGGACACGGCTCCTACCAGCCTGTCCACCTCACTCCTGGCAACCAGGGCCCAGCCCAGACTGAGGCCATGCAAAGGATGGAGAGAAGGAGCAGGACAGAGGAGACAGAGAGGAATGAAACCAACTGGCACCTCCGGCCAGTCTCTGCTGGGAGGGACACACACAGAGGACTTGCTCAAACCTCCAAACAGCCCTGGGAGGTTACTGCTGCTGTCACCCCTGTTCTGTAGACCATGGCACACGGGATAGAGAGGTGGAGTGACTTGCTCAACATCACACAGCAGAACCTGCCACTAGGGCTCCGGAGTCTAGAAGCCTAATGTGTGTGTGTGGGGGGGAGCCCAGACCTGGTGGAAGAGGAAGGGACCCAGTTTAGCTGGGGACTGGCTGCAGCGCCTCAGTCTAGGGCTCAACTGGAGGAGCCAGGGCCCAGAGCACAACACCCGCCCAGCGCTGCTCCTGGCTTGCGGCCTGCCGGCCTGCCGTGTAGCCCAGGCCCTGCCTCTTCCCACCCGAGATGCAGGATGCAGGATGCACGCACAGCTCACAGCGTTTCCCCGCTCTGCTCTGGGGGGCTCCTCCCACTCGGCCCCTGTGGGCTCCTGCTGCAGCCATGGCTGTCCTGTCCCTGTCTTCCCTGGCTCTGGATCCTTCTCTCCCCATGGCTGCAGAGCCTGAGGTGCACAAATGGTGAGGCTTGGAGCCGCTGGGGGGCTGCATGGCCTGGGGGTTCAGCCTGGCTGAAAAGTCGGGATTCCTGGGTCCTGGCTCCTCCAGAGACTGTCGCCCCCCCCTCCCTCCCTGGGCAGCCCGTCCTAGGCCACTTTAGGAATTTGGCAAGAGGGCAGCCCCAGTGGTGCAGCGGTTTAGCGCTGCCTGCAGCCCGGGGTGTGATCCTGGAGACCCGGGATCGAGTCCCACGTCAGGCTCTCGCATGGAGCCTACTTCTCCCTCCCTCCCTCTCTCTCTCTCAATGTATAAATAAATCTTAAAAAAAAAAAAAAGTAGATTATAGGAATTTGGCAAGACAAGCTGCCACACAGAGAGCCCAGGCCTGCAGAGCCTGGGATCCTCTCTGAGGTCTCCCTTAACTCGGGGGTTCAGAGAGACACAGTCAGGACGTCCTCCACCCCCTGGCTGCCCCAGCCCTCTGCCCATGCTGTTCCTGGAAACCTGGACAGATGCCCCTCTGCCCTGTCTCCTGTCGGGAACCCAGCTCCTGAGGGAGTAGTGCAGGAAGGAGGCAGAGGCTGCTTACAAATGCGGAGGGGGGTCCAATGGCTTGGACCCTGGGTTCTTTTTTTTTTTTTTTTTAAGATTTTATTTATTTATTCATAGGCACAGAGAGAGAGGGGCAGAGACACAGACAGAGGGAGAAGCAGGCTCCATGCAGGGAGCCCGACGTGGGACTCGACCCTGGGTCTCCAGGATCACACCCCAGGCTGCAGGCGGCGCCAAACCACCAGGGCTGCCCGACCCCTGGGTTCTTTAGAGAGCCCGTCCCTGACTGGGGTGGCCCTGGGGGAGCCCCACTGGCTCCTGTATCACTGATTCCCTCTCTGCAGAGTTGGGAAGGAAGGAGCTGGCAAAAACCCCCTTAAGAGGAGAGTTCTGGACGTTCTCTCCAATGCCAGGTGTGCTTGCAGAGCCCACCACTACGCCTGAGCCTCTGCCTTCCACGCCAGACAGATTTTCCCAAGAAGGAGGGGTAGAGAGAGGGGCTTACAGTAGGTCTAGGGGACCCAGATGTCTGATCCCCACAGCCTAGGACAGTCTCACTGTCCCTGTCCCAGCTCCCCGTGGGGTCCTCAGGGTCCCATTCCATTGATCCCCCTGTAGGCAAGCTCTCAGCTGGTGCTTAGCCCCTGGTGCTGGGGGTGGGGGGGTAAGCAGCTAATGGACTTGGCACAGCCAGGAGGTAATTACCAGGGAGGGGCATGTGCTCGCTGAGGGGAGGGGGCACCATTAATGACAGAGGAACCTGACAGCTAGGGCAGGGGAGGGGGGTGTGTATGCACAATTGAACACATGTGTCTCGGAGGTGGACGCATCTGCATACGAGTGGGGGGCTCTCAGGCCATGAACTGACCATATGGGTACAAATGAGCCCCCTCCTCGCCAGCCAGGACCGGGCCCCAGGCTCAGGCTGCCTAGAGGGGTCTGAGTGATCGGTTTCAGCTCTGGTTCCCAGTTGGATGAAAGCTGTCTGGTTCCCTCTCCCACACTCTTGCAAAATATCCACCTCCCTGTCCTCACCTTGCTCCCAGGACCTCTTACCTTGCCTGCCCAGCTTTTCCAGCAACACCTCTGACTGTAGTTTTTAGAGTTTCTGATGTCCTGATGCTCTTGACCTTGGAAAGGTCCTCTTGCTCTGGCAGGTCCCTTCTATGCCAACCTCTATCCTCTCTGCTTCAATGATAGCCCAAATCCTGCTCGGTGAAGGCCCCCTCTGCCTCTACCTGCCCCCCAGCCCTGAGGAGGGGCTCTAGAGGAGGGGGGAATGGGAGTGCAGATGAGAGAGAAAGTGCCCCCGCCCCTGGCTCCCATGGTGTTTTCCAGAACATTCTCTGATTCAGCTGCTCATCTGTCCCCTGTCTGTCCATCAATGTCCATCTGTCTCTTTGGGTTGTCTCTGTCTCTCTCCTCTGTCCCCACACCCCCCGGGCAGCCTTTCTGGCTGTCTCCACGTCTATAGGTCCTGCAGTGTCTCTGCATTGTCTCTCTCTTCGCATCTGTGCCTGGCCCACCTGTGGGATCTGGTCCCTGACCCTGTCTCTCCCCCCACATTACCACCCCCTCCCCCTTACACCACCTGCTGCAAAACTCCCTCACTGAGTGGTGCAGAAGAGGAGGGCCTGTGAACTTGGCCCTTGGGGACCAGACCCCCCACCTCATCAATCAGCCTGCAGCCCTGGGTCAGAGCTCCATTAGCACTAAGCAGTCTGGACAAGAGGCAGACACCACCGGGCTAGGCCTAGGGGTGATAAGACCCAGATTGAATCACTGAGCCAGGCACCCAGGGACATGAGACAGCCATGACATTAGCCCTGAGGAGCCATGGAGAGCGTGGGTTATTGCGGGAGCTGAGCAGGTGATTGGAAGTGATGGGGCTGGAGTGGGGGGGCTACTTCTCTGGGGGGGGTGCTCCACGTGAGGAAGATGGGGGAGGGTTGGGAGGACCTCAGCCAGCCTTGGAGCCCATGGAAGCCTGGGGCCACTCCATAAGGCCAGTGGTGTTCCAGGGGGCAGAGGGGAAGGAAAGCTCACCTCTTCCGTGGGCGGAACAGGACAGAGAGATGGTTCCTTACTCAGGAAATAGCCACCTTGCCTGGGGCCCTGGCCTCCTAGCGCAGATCTCAAAGCACTCAGAGCAGGAGTGACAGAGGGGAGGAACACAGGGTACTACCTCCCTCACGGTTCCTTTACCTTGCTCTTTCCCTGTCCCTGCCACACGTACACACAGACACACATGCATGCACACATGCACACCTCCGTCTCTCATCCATTTGTTCTACCACGTGTCTGCTCGGCTCTGTGGCCAGGAACACAAGGGACGCTCCCCACCAATGCTTCCATCCTGTCCACCGTGACAGCTGACTTCTGTTCCTCCCACTACAGCAACAACCTTCCTGAGCATGAGGTGTAGAGACAGCCAATTGGGGTCTGAAGTTCTGGGAAGCCTGCCAGAGGCCACCCCTCCCCCAGGTGAACACAGGGGCCACCAGCCCTGGAGACAGGGGAGGGTCATCCCCCTACCTGAGTCTCAACCCCCCTCTCCCACAGTGACATCATCCCAAAAATTGGCAAGAAACACACGGCCAAGAGATAATAAATATAATTGCTATGACAGGACCCCATCTAGAGAGGCAGGAACATCCTCCACTCCCAGACCCCACTTGTCCCCTCCGGCATGCTGAGGGTGAGTTAGATGCTTTGAGATCACCCTGGGGCTGCTGGGAGTTCCCGGGGTTATGCAGGGCAGGCCCCAGTGTTTGGGCGGCACAGCCCCCAGGGCTGGCCCCCTAGCCCAGGACATCCAAGTAGACTGGAGGTGCCTGGGCCAGGGCTTGCAGCCGGGCGTGCACATCCTTGATGCTGTGGCGTTGTTGGGGCTCCCGCTGCCAGCAGCCCCGCATAATGGCGTAGACCTCCGGTGGGCAGGCCCGGGGCCGCTCCAGCTCTCGGCCCTGCGTGATGCACTCAATCGCCTGGGGCCACCCGAGGGAGAGAGAAGAGGGCACATTGCGCTGGAGCAGGGGGGAGAGGCAGGCAGCAGCACCCCAGCCTCCCTGAGGCTCTCCAGGCAGGCCCCATGGATGTCTGGGGCTCTTGGTTACTAATAGTCTAAAAGGAAGCCGCAAACCCCAAGATTCCTTCCCACCTCAACATGGAGCAGTGGGAAACATCAGGGCCAGGTAGACTCTGGGAAGGCTGGGTTGGGGGGGATACGATTGCTTCCAGAAGGGCTGGAATCAGACCCTCAGAAGACTTGCTAGGTGGTTTGAGGGAGGGGAAGGGCCCTGGCATTTGCCAAATCCATCAGCCAGTGCTGAGGGCTGAATGGGGGAAGGGAGGGGTCCTCCACATCCCTGTTCCAGAGGGAAAAAGGAAGGTAGGATTGCAGCAAGGCCTTGAAAACTGCTAGCTTGCCATCATCTAAGGTAGAGGGCAACCCCCCTTCCCTTTGTCTTCTGCAGGTACCATTCTGTGGAGACCTAGCTCCTCTGAAAAGAAAACTGCAGCAGGAAAGATCCAAGTTAGACTCCAGGAAGGGCTGTTAGAGCAGCCAAGGGATCCAAGGAAGGAGAGATGTGGCGGGGAGCTGGGTGAGGGGGCCTGGAGCCTCTCCCCCCTTCTTCCCTCCCTCCCCATTAGAGGACTTGGGTTATGGGTAGCACTAATTCCATTCCTTCTCTCAGTGCTTGAGAAAATTAAAATCTATAACCCTCTCCCCCACCCCAGCCGCCTCCAGGGAGCAAACTGCATTAGGAGGAGAAATGGAAACTGACAGCTGGGAGCCAAGGAGGGGGTGGGGGAGCTGCTGGGGAGCCAGAACACCTGGGGCCTGCTCTGGGGGCCAGCGCCATGCGGCGGGAGGGGCGGGCCTGTCCTTCCTGCAGTCTGACCTCCAACCTTCCTGCTGCAGTGTCAGGTCCTCCGGAGCAGCCCCTGTCCCCATGCCTGTCCCTCCACCCTGATGGTGCCTACTGCGCCTATACAATGCAGCTAAGGACGGAGTCTGGGCTCCATCCGGAAAGTGCTTTGAGTCTCCCCCAGGAGCCAGCTGGGCCTGGGCTGGGCCGGTGAGTGGAGGCAAGAATCCAAGAGGGAAGAGGGGAAGAGTGCAAGGAGCCCGGGTGAGGGGTGCGGAGGAAAGCCCCCGCGGTCGGTCGCGGCACCGGCCGGGGCAGGGCCGGGGCAGGGCCGGGGCGGCGGGCGGGGCTGACCTCGGTGTTGGACAGCTGGTACCAGGGCTGCTTGCCGTAGGTGAAGATCTCCCAGAGCACCACCCCGAAGCTCCACACGTCACTCTCCGTGGTGAACTTGCGGTAGAGGATGCTCTCGGGCGGCATCCAGCGGATGGGCAGCATCGTGCGGCCCCCCACCTGCGGGCGGGCGGGGCGCGTCACTGCGGGGGCGGGGGGTGGGGGAAAGGGGGACCGCGCACCTGGTCCCGCGCCCCCGCCCCGTCATTAAAGATGAATGGAAGGGGCTCTGGGGCCGCCGCTAAGAGGGAAAAACCGACGGTGCAGTCCCTGTGCGCCCAGAGAGCGGAGAAGGCGGGCCCGGGAGGTAAGGGGCGGGGAGCCCAGAGCCAGACAGCCCGCGCCCCCACGCCGCCCAGGAAGAGGAGGGCGTGCCCGCGCAGGGGGTGGGGTCTGCAGTGCAGGGGGAGGGGCTGCGAGACTGGGCGGGGGGTGGGGGGCCTGCAGTGCCGGGAGGGGCCTCCGGGCTGGGCCCAAGGACCCTTACGCGGTAATAGTCCGTGCTGTAGATGTCCCTGCTCATGCCGAAGTCCCCGATCTTGACCACCAGTCCCTGGCCCACCAGACAGTTGCGCGTGGCCAGGTCCCGATGCACGAAGTGCAGACCTGCCAGGTACACCATCCCCGCAGCGACCTGGCTAGCAACGGCCAGCAGCTGCCCCAGGCCCAAGGGGCCCGGAGCCACGTCCTCCCCGCCAGCCAGCAACTTGGCGTCGGGCCCATGGGACCTGCCAAAGAGTGAGGGAGAGAGGGTGGGCTGGGGAGGGAGCCCTCAAGAGGCTGAAGACCCAGATCCTGGGGAGCTGGGGTTGAAGGCAATGGGGGACTCCAGAGAAGGGAGGAGGGAAGGAACAGGAAGAGTGTCTGCAAGGCCTGGGAGGGGGGCCGCCAGGTGGGCCACCTCAGGAGCCTCCCCCACTGCCCCCACTTCCCACACTTCCCACATCCCCCTAGCCCCCCAGGTCACCTCCTTGAACTCTGAGCCCAGCATCCAGGTTCCCACTGGCCCCTGCCTCTCTTGCCCATGGATACCTCCCACTCTGTCCTCCAGATGCTTAGCTTCCCCTAAGTCTGCCCCTGCCTCCATGAAGGAAAGCTTCCCACCCAGGCTCCGAACCTGAAGCCTGGGGGTCCTCCTGTCTCTCTCCCCTTCGCCCTCAATGTTCAGCCTCAATGTTCAGAATGGGATCCTTCTTCTTTTCAAGTTTCCAGGATGCCTGCCACCTCCCACTGCCACCACTTCAGATCATTACTTGATCACCCAGCTCCATTCCCCAGATATTCCTTCTTCTGACTCCAGCCCGAGCCAGTGGCTTTGTGGGTACTGCCCCTTCCCACAGGCCAACTTTCTCATCTCTTTATTTCTTCCTTTATGGCAGAGGCTTCCTAAACACCTCCGGTGTGCCAAGCACCGGAGCTACAGTAGAGAATGGGATACAGATAAATAGGGGCACCTGATGGGCACTCAGGCTAGGGATGAAAGAAGTCAGAGGAGACTTCCTGGAGGAAGAGACATTTAAACTGAGACTCAAGGGACGCCTGGGTGCCTCAGTGGTTGACTATCTGCCTTTGGCTCAGGGCCTGATCCCAGAGTTCCAGGATCCAGTGCTACATCGGGCTCCCTGCAGGGAGCCTGCTTCTCCTGCATATGTCTCTGCCTCTCTCTCTCTGTGTCTCTCATGAATAAATAAATAAAATATTAAAAAAGAAAAAGAAAAGAAAAAAAGGGGGCACCTGGGTGGCTCAGTCTGTTAAGCATCTGTTTGCCTTCAGCTCAGGTCATAATCCCAGGGTCCTGGGATGAAGCTCCACATCAGGCTCCCTGCTCAGTGGAGAGCCTGTTTCTCCCTCTCCCTCTGCTGCTCCCCCCAACTTGTGCTCTCTCTCTCCCAAATAAATAAACAAAATCTTAAAAAAAAATAATAAACTGAGACTCAAACCCTGAAGAAAAGGGGTGAATAAGCCATTTAAAAGCATCAGAGAGAAAAAAAAATTAAAAAATAAATAAAACATCAGAGATGGGCAGCCTGGGTGGCTCAGTGGTTTGGCGCCACCTTCAGCCCCGGGCATGATCCTGGAGACCCGGGATTGAGTCCCACATCAGGCTCCCTGCATGGAGCCTGCTTCTTGCCCCCCCCTTGAATAAATAAATAAAATCTTAAAAAAAAATAAAAGCATCAGAGACAGAGAGGTAGGTGAAGTGGCTGGGAGGGAGACCTGATGTACCAGGCAGAGGGAACTGTAAGTGCAAAGGCCCTGGAGTGAGAAGGAACAGATAGGCTTCCTAGGGAATACCTTCCAGACTCATCCAGGAGCCTTCATGATTCCCTCCTTTGGGTCCCTATATTCTATCCAGTATTGAGAGCCACTTCTCCCACATCCTGGGCCCCAGATGGTGGCATGTCCCTGGCCTGCATCCCAGGCACTCAGCACTGAGCCGATGCAGTGTCTGGTGAGCAAGGGAAGGGCCTCCTGTCTGGCTTCCTGTTGACTCCAGTCTACTGAGCCCAATGGCTCCACGCTCATCATGGCGTCTCCCATCACCTCCCTCCTGCTCCCCACTGCCACTGGCTTCTCCTCCCCCTCCACAGACCTCTTAAGGTCTCCCCCAACTGAATTCTGCAGCCTGTGTGAGTGACCCTTCACTCCCAAAGGGGTGTTTGGAGACCACATCACGACCATGAACTGGACAGTCACACAGCACTTTCTCATCCAGAACCACAGACCCCACTGAACCTCTTCTGGCAGGGAAACTGAGGCCAGAGAGATAGGCTACTTGGCTCAGCTAGGAGCTCACAGCTGAGTGTAAGCCTGGCCCTCCCCCTGCCTGCCTCACATCTCACACTGTCCCATCCTGGGGAAGGCGGGGATTCTTACCCAAGAAGGACTCAACAAAGGGAACCTGTGACTATTGCAGCCAGGGGTTGAGAGGAGACCATACTCCACCCTGGGCCATTTATTACCTGTGTGCCCCTGGGCAAGCCACTTAAGTCTCTTCTGTGAAACGGGCAGATTTCTTGACACTATTAAAATTATCCGAACAGGGCCACCTGGGTGGCTCAGTGGTTGAGCAACTGTGTTTGGCTCAGGTCATGAGCCCAGGGTCCTGGGATCGAGTCCTGCATCGGGTTCCCCACAGGGAGCCTGCTTCTCCCTCTGCCTATGTCTCTGCATCTCTCATGAATAAATAAATACATAAAATACTTTAAAAATAAAATAAAATAATTGGCACAAACTAGTAAACACATCAGCATTGTTCTGTCCAAAGCAAAAGAAATAAATTTTTAGTGACTTTTTTCAAGTAAAAATTGCCAGACACGCTTGGAGACTATGAAGAATACATATCTATTTACATTATTATACAGATAAATGTGTCCAAGCACAGGCTGACACAGGTGGAAGTGAGGGCATGAGAAGAGTGTCTGGAACACGTGTTATTGTTGCCACACCTCTCTAAGCTGTCAACCCCCCACAGGCCTGGCTTCTGCGCGCCACCGGCAAACGCAAAGACACTCCCTGCAAAGCCACTGTCCCAGAGCACAGCTCCTGATTTCTGCTAGTGCCATCCACTGACCACCGCCACTCTGTCCTTTGCACATTCACACCTGGGGGACAGGATGAAACCCCCTCTTGGTTTGACGGATGATCAAGGATATGCTTTCAGGGAAGAGGCAAGGGAGCTCAGAGCCAGAGGCCAATGCGGGGCCAGGCAGTCATACCGAAGGAAGCGGTTGAGGTCACCGTGTCGCATGTACTCAAAGACCATGAGCAGTGGGCGGCCCTCGGTGCAGACCCCAAAGAAGCGCACGATGTGCTGGTGCTGCAGCATGGTGAGCAGCTGGGCCTCCCGCTGGAAGTCCTGCCTGGCGCTCTCGGACACCTCCTTCAGCGCCTGGATGGCAGGGGTGGGCAGGACAGGCTGAGTTCGGCCCACCCCCTCCTCCCCACACCCAAGATGGCCAGACCCCACATTCCACCCCCAAGCCTGAGCACACAGTCCTGGAATGATGGCGCTCCGAGAGGTGGGACCCTGGCCAGCAGTACTTCGTGGACCAGGTCTTACCTTGACAGCCACTAACATCTTGTCCTGCTCGGGCAGCAGGTTGTGGCACTCAGCAAGGAAGACCTTCCCAAAGGCACCTTCACCCAGCTCCCATTTGAGCACAATGTCCTGGCGCTTGATGTGATGAACACCTGCCGAGAGGCATGCAGGATCGGACCAGAGCCCCCATCCTGGCTTGGGAAGGAGTGGGTGGGGCCAAGCCAGGACTAGCTAGTAGGCTTGGGTGCCAGCCAAGGGGGTGCCTGGGGACTGAAACTGAGCCTTTGTGCATCCCCAAGCCCCATGCTGTGGTGTAGACGGGTAAGGAGTGGGGAAGGGAGGGAAGGCTTTCTCAGGCCTGGGGTGGACAGAGATGATACAGGGGCTTCTACACACCCCCCGGGGCTCACCCCCACCCTTGACCCAGGACAGCTCCTCACAGGCATCACTGAAGTATTGTGGGTTCTCAATGATGTGACCTTGGAGCCCAGAGCCTTTGCCCTCAGTGGGGGACAAGGAGCTGCCACCTAATGTCATGAAATGCAGAGACATGGCCAGTCCGTCCTCTGGAGCCAGCACCACTGCGCCTGGGGGAGAGACACAGCCATTCAGAGTGATCACAACGCAGGGTCCCAGGGGAGGGGAGAAACAGAGGAGGCAGGCAGCCAGCAGGGGAAGGCAGGGCACTATGGCCCCTATGGCTCCTGTGCAGCCCCAGGCCCTGGGGGCCACCATGGACCCCCCCACCCCTGGAGAGCTCAGACCTCCCAGACCCACTTAGTGTTTGACTGCCATCTAGCCACCAATGAGCAGCTGCTGCCTGACCCTCCCCCAGCCCGGGCCCCAACGTACACACTCATACCCACAAGCCAGGGTCCCGGCCCTCATAACCCAGCCGGGTGTAGGCACCCCCATGTGGAAGACAGAGCCGGGGAGAACCCACAGGAAACACAGGCAGCAGGACAGACTGATGGACAGACTGGCAGACAACCCGATGCAGCAGCACTCCTACTCACGGTTGCCCCCAAATTTGTTCCTCCGTCCACACTTATTGAGTGCAAGGAAGAGTGTAGAAAGGAAGAGGCAGGCAAAGACAGCCAGGCCCACAGCCACGGAGACCTGGCAGGGGTTGGGGGGTGGGGGGCAGACCTGGAGCTTCTCCTGCACCCTCCGAGCACCCCCACAGCAGCAACGACTCTCCATCCCGCATGCTCCCCACCCAAGACCTGCCTCCTCCTGCCCTGGCACCCAAGACCCTGGCTGTGGGGGTGGCTCAGGCCACATGGTCCGAATCGTCACGCTCTCACCAGAAACCACATGTGGGCAAGCCACTAGCCCAGCCTCCCAATCCCAAGTCCAAGTCTGAGACCGGTTTCCTCCTCTCATGCTCACCCCAAAAGGGGTTTCGTCCTTCTTCTCCACTGGGTCTCCAGACGTGCTGTTAGTGTCTGTGGGGACACAGGGCATGGAGAGTGGGCCTTGGCACATGGGGTGTCTCCTGCAGCAGCTCCCCCCAACCCACCCCAGCTGAGCCCTCAGGGGTCAGGTCAGCTGGGCCCTCTGCCCAGCCTTGGCTTCAGGAACCACACAGAACCTGCCCCCCCACCCCAGCCTGGGTACTCACCCACTGGCGAGAAGGAGACTGCAGGGGGAGGAGGAGAGAAAGCAGTCAGATGGGGGGGCAGATGGAAGTGAGTCCCCCCCACCCCACTCATCCCTTCCTAGGGCAGGAGGGCAGCTGGGCCTCATCAAGGAGAAGGCCATGGACACCCTGGTGCCCAGCACCCCCAGTTGGTGGCCGAGCCCAGGGCTTCAGGGCTCCCAGGGCTCAGGGAAGGCAGGGCAGGGTCACAGCCCGACACAGGAACTCAGGGCCCCTCTCTGCCCAGGACTGGGCACTGAAGCCTGTAGGGTGAGGACCAGAGCAAGTGGACCAGGCCTCCCCCGACACCTGTGGCTGTGCCCAGGGGCCACCAGGCATGGGGGTCGGGGTGGCCCTCGCACCGGGGATGGGGTCCTCGGGGTTGAACTCGAAAGGGTTGTCCATGAAGGCAGCCATGACAAAGGCGGCAGCCCGGCCAGAGGGGTTGGCGGCCAACAGCGTGTAGTTGCCGTTGTTGACATGGGTGGGCTGGTTGAGCCGCAGGCAGCCGTGCCGCACCGTCTCGTTGGCCACCGGCTCCAGGAACTCAGTGAAGATGAAGCTGGTCTCGTTGAGCACAGAGCCGTTGAAGAGCCAGCGCAGAGAGGGCGCCGGCTGCCCATCCACCGAGAAGGGGATGCACCAGTGATGCAGCTCCACCGCCTCATGCAGCTGCACGCTGGCCGGGACTGTGGACCAGAGAGGGTGACAGCCAGGCATCAGGGAGCAGCTGGCGGGGACCCAGAACGGACCTGACAAGTCTCGGGGTGGGGTGGGTAGAGCCAGAAATCAGGTGGTGGGCCTAAGAGAAACTGGCCAGCGGGCCTGAAGAAATACACAAGGAGGGATCTTTTGAAGAAAGTTGACAGTAAATCTTAAATAAACCAGGCAGCAGGTGTGTACAATTCAGAGGCTTCGAGAGCCCCCGGGGGAAGTGGAGTGCCGCCTTTTGGATAAGGGATCCAGAAAAATGAAGTGCAATTGAGCTTAAGAAGCTCAGGAGAAGGCCTAAACATCAAACAAGCAAACAGTATGTAGTTTAAAAGCTTCTGGAAAAAGAATACGGGTTTGAAATAGACCCAACCTGACTCAGCCAGGAAGGGAAGGAAGGGCAACTGCCCCCATCAACAGAGGTGAATCTCACAAATATAATGTTGCTCAAAAGAAACTAGACCCAGAGGGCAGCCCGGTGGCTCAGTGGTTTAGCACCACCTTCAGCCCAGGGTGTGATCCTGGAGACTCGGGTTCAAGTCCCACGTCAGGCTCCTTGCATGGAGCCTGCTTCTCCCTCTGCCTGTGTCTCTGCCTCTCTCTCTCTCTCTCTCTGTGTCTCTCATGAATAAATAAATAAAATCTTTAAAACACACACATACAAAGAACTAGACCCATAATAATACTTGCAGTAGGATTCCCTCTCTATAATGTACAAGAACCAGCGAAGCCAAACTGATAGGGAAGCTCACGTGTGTAAAATTCTTTTTAAAAGCAAGGAAACGATTATCACAAAGTCAGGATGGTGCGGAGAAGGATGCGGAGAGGAAGGGAAGGTGTTCTGAAGAGCCAGAGAACAATTACTGTTTGAAGTGTCTATGTCTTATGCACATATCTATGTTATATTTCACAATTAAAGAAGAAAAATTGTGTGACGTATAAGATTCAAGGTAATTTTTTTGGCAGACCTAGGGAAATTAGGCAGTGAGACTAAGGAAGAGCTCAGAAGGGGCATTTCTTCTTTCAAAATTTGGACGGACAACGAAAGTGCTCCAAAGGGGCAGGCATGCGCGTAACTCAGCAGAGAGCAGCGGGAGCAGCCAGGCAGCTGGTGCCGAGGGCCTCAGGTAGCAAGACTTGGGCAGGGGGCCAGAAAGAAATCCATCCCTGTCCCTCTGGCCTTGACGAGCCCCCAGGACTTCCCCACAGGATCAGGTTTTCATGGGAATCTGGAAACAGCTGGGTGGGAGCAGCTGTGCAGACACATATCCCAGCCCCTTCCTCCAGACCCCGACCCTCAGAGCCTCTTTCCAGGGAAGAAGGAAGGGGGTACAGGGTGGGGGGAGGTCACTGGGACTCACAGGAGACGTTGACCTGCACAGAGACTTCGGCCCGGCCCACATCATTCTCTGCCCAGCACGTCACATTCTTCCTATTGAGGTCACTGGTGACATTGGCCAGGGTCAGCCCCAGGGATGGCAGGTCCCCAGATTGCTGGGTCAGGAAAGAGAAGGGAAAATGAGGAAGAGTGACCACAGGCTTGGGTATGGAGGCAGGGGGGTGGAGCTGATATGTTTGGGGTACTCCTATGGCTTCAGATGGAAAAGAGAGGAGGAGTGAGGGGAACGGGGGTGGGGGAGGAGGGGGAAGGGGTAGAGGAGAGAATATAGCAGGGAATGTACCCCCGTCCTTTAGGGCTCATTCACAGACTATCTCCCGGAACACGTATTTAATGATCTGAAAAATCTAGAACATGACCAGTAACCTCAAAACAAGCACAGAATACCCTGAACCAGAACCACTTCTGAGAAGCTGAGTAGATGTCAATAATCCCAAGTATCAAATAGACACAACTTGTTGGACAAATCAGCTAGGATCTCACCACCAGCTCATGCTTGTTTTACACCCAGTTCTATCAGTCTCAGCCCAAAGGATACCAGAAATATGGAGCTGCCCTGATAGCAGATGAGGCAGCAGCGTCCTGACCCCCTTTGGTAGATGAACACGGAGAGTAAAGCTACAGGCAAACTGACTTGATTTTGAATCATCATCGGAAGACTGAATCAGGTTCAGATTCTCTTCTAAGAAACTGTGGCGGTGTGCCAGTTACGTGACCTTAGGACAATTCCCAATCTTGCTGAACCACAGTTTTCTTGTTTTGTAAGCTAAAGAGGTAGACAAATGATCCTTTGACACTTTAGGAAGCTATTTCCATAAAATGATGGAAGTCAATGGAGCACTGCACAAATATCATTTATCTGGAAATTTCAGAAATGTGGAAACCTTTGAACCAGGGCCAGAGGAGGTGAATCTTCCCTGGGCTTCCACTGGAAGTCGGAAGTTCCTCTCTCTAGGCTCTTGTGCAAGCTCCAGCTTCCAGCCTCCTCCAGGGGAAGCCCTGCCCTGCCTCAAGCTTCTCTCTGCTGTCCTGTCCCCACCAAATCACTCTGGGTGCAGGGCAGCTCATCAACTCTAGGCTTTGAGCTGCTCCGCCACCTTCCACTCTCCTGAGGGTGACCAGCCTCCCCTGCCTTCCACTGAACCCAGCTGAGCGTGACTTTTCTATAGGAAGTTTCTAGAAAACAGAAGTGGTAGCAAACACGGAAATCTCTCAAAGAGAAAAGCAAAACCCTGGAATTTCCCAAACCAGCTGAGCAGAGGTCTCTCCACAGACAGTCACAGCTGGCCTCTCGCCTCTGCATTGTTCCCTTTCCATCACTCACTCTCGGTGGCTTTGCGCTGTGGTAGGGAAGGAACCACTCAGTGGCTCATGGTCCTCCCACCGTGTCTGGGTCCCCTGCTCCAATGGTTCCTCCTCCTATGATATTGTTCCAGGGGCTTCCGGCAATTCTGGGGGTGGGCCCCTGCCCCAAGAGAGGGCCTCCAAACTGAGCACACTGGCCCTGCATGTCAACCCATGTGGGGCCAGCTTTTTGGGTGAGCACGGCCTCTTGTCTGCCTCTGCTAACCTTGTCAACAAGGCCTCAGCTGTGGCTACCCACGGCTGCCCATTGTCAGCCTGAGCACAAAGAGCAAGGCACAAGAAGATGCCCAAAGACACGTCTGCGTGGCAGAGATAGCAGCCAGAGAGTGTTCAGGGGCAGCGGGACTTCAGAGGGCATCCTGTCCACCTCCTCAGTTGATAGGCAGGCAGGATATCAAAAGGTCATCACATCCACCTCCTCAGTTGACAGATAAGAAAACCAAAGTGCAGGCAGATTAAAGGATTTTTTCCAAAAGTCGGTCCAAAATTAATTACTGAGAAAACTGGACCCAGACCTGGACTTTCTTTACTAATAAGCTCATTATACACCCAAGAGGATGCTGCTTCCAGAATCTCCAGAGAGAGATGGGAAGGACCCTGAGAAGGCAGCTGGATGCAGGACCACAAACACTGTGCGCTCTCCCTCTGGTCCTGTTCCCTTGTCTAGAAAGCGGTGGGTGGGAGGGATGGCCTGTGGGTTCAGGGACTTTCTGTCTGGCAGCCAGCCCTGTGTTCCCAGGCAGGCTCCGGGGTCCCCGCTGGGCCGGCGCCCACCCTGAGGGCCTGTGTGTGCCTGTGGGACACAATGGGCCTGAGCCCATGGGTGGAAACTATATCTGCCCCTCCCCCCGAGCTCTCCGTGCTTCTTACACGCTGTGTCTCTTTTCCTATCTCTGCCCCCTGTGCCCTGTCCAAGCCTCTTCGGGGAGAGGCAAAGAGGGGGAACAGGGACAGGCGGTGAGGGGCTTCTTACCGTCACTGTGGCCAACTCCTCGACCTCTGGGAGGATCCAGCCGGCCCGCTCCAGGCCCCGCCCCTCCACCTGGCACTGCAGCAACACATCATCCCCCACCTCCACCGACGCATTGGGCATCTGGACCTTCAGCACCGGGACGCCTGGCCGCCCAGGATGGCAGAGGGGTGTGAAAGCAGGAAGTGGTCTCAAAGCCCGAGCCCAGGGCAGGGCTTCCTCTCCAGCACCCCAGGGCCCTGGTGCCCCTACTGGCCACACTAAACACCCTTCAGCCTTCAGGCCCCAACTCTTGCCAATGCCTGTTTCCCAGTCCCTGGGCGGCTGGCTTCTCAGGCCCAGCACCTGCCCTGCTCAGTGCTCTCTCAGAAAGCATGCAGCTGCCCCCGCCCCTCATGCCCACCCCCTCCTCCCTGGCACCTACCGCAGCTGGCATTGGACAAGAGGGCCAGGGGCCCCTGTCCGGGACACTGCAGCCTCTGTCCACGCACTCCACCCAGCCCTTCCTCCTCCCAGCGCAGCAGCCAGTGGAGGGCACAAGAACAGTGTAGTGGGTTCCCCGACAGGACCCTGTGAGTGTGGGGGACACCAAGAGAGTCAGAGAGACAGGGCAGGTGCTGGGCCTGAGAAGCCACAGAGAGTGAAGCACCATGGAAGAGGGGCATGCAGCCAGGCCGCAGGGTGGAACATCTAGAAGTGAAGGGAGGGGGCCCGGAAACAAGGCGTTATGACAAGAATTAGAATCCAGGAAGTCCGGGAGCCAGCTGTGGGCTACTTGGATTCCCTTGCCCCAGTGCTCTCCTCAGGAAGCCAGGCCAGGTGAGGACTCTGAGCAGAATGGCAAAGACAGAAGGGCACATCTTTGGAGTGACCCAGAGGCCTTAGGGGCCAACTGCGCACACACAGACCACCACTGTCCCCATCGGCCCCATATGCAGGGGTGCTGGCAATGTGGGCAGATGTGCCCACATGGACAGGTGGGCCTGGGTCTGCTCCTGGCCCCCAGCTTTCTGAGCACATGAGGCATCAGCCACCAGCCAGCTGTCCTCCAACAGCCTGGCTGCCCCTAGGGCAGCTGTCCCCTCTAGCAGGCCTGCAGCCTCTTTGATGGGGGTCACGGGCATGTGCAGCGTCCCCATCTCAGCTCACAGCCAAACACACAGTCCCCAAAGAGCACCCCCACACACATAGCTCCACATGGACACAGTGACACACTGCCCCCAGAGGTACAAGTGCGTTCACACACGCGCACGCGTACACACACACACACACACACACACACACACACACACACACACCACTGGCCCCTGGAAGCCCCTCACTTACAGCTCCTGCAGGGGGAGGCCCTGGACGGTTTTCCAGGACAAAGACTCCAAAGCATTGAAGGAGAGATTCCTGTGGTAGTTGAGATAGAGACAGCAGCCTTGAGCCACAGACATCGCTCTGACCCAGGGGAAGGGAGGGAGGAGGAGGTACAGCCCACTGACATCTGGCTTCCCCACCCCTACCCTGGCAACTAGAACCAGCCAAGGAGGCACCTGCTCTGGGTCAGGTTAGGCTCCTGGGGTCCCCCTCTCCTCCCTGGAACAGCAAGGGTTAACCCCCTGAGCCCCCTCCCCAGACCCCAGGGAGGGGGTCTCAGGGAACAGCCTGCTCCCCTCTCCCCCACCCCTGGCCCCAGCTGGCAAAGTGCTGAGGCCCCAGCTGGGGGAAGGGGCTCCATCTGTGCTCCCCTAACAGAGCCCAGGATGGGCCAGAGGAAAGGGGGTGGTGACCAGGATCTCCAAGCACTTCCTCAGCTCACCCACCTGCTTCCTTCTCCCACTCCAGTTCCCCCAACCCCTGGCTGCAGACAAGGAAAGAGGACCAGCTTCAGGCCACACAGCGAGCCAGTTAGGCGCCCTGTGCTACTCGCCCCACACCAGGCTGCCACTCCTGGGGGCTCTCCTTCAGGCACCTGCCCTGGGCCTCTCTGTGCCCAGCTATCCTACAGTTTGGGGGGCTGAGCTGGAGCGGCATGACCACACAGGTATCAGAGAGTGCCCAGTCTCGCACCAGACAGAGCAGGACATGTCTTGCCACGTACATCTGTGTGACCTCAGCCCAGAAATGTCATCTCTGCGATTCTAGAATCCTCTATAAACAGGGCTGACACTCTCTCTCCCCATGTTGATTGTGAAGATGCATGGACATAAGTATTGTGAGTATGCATTTTTAAGTGAAGCCTCAGTGTGTAGTCAGTGACGTAACTAACATCACCTTTCTTGTTGTTGCTAAGTCACTGGACACAGCAGAGACTTCAGAGCACCCCGCACAACTGCATGGATGGCAGGCCCCCACCACCCTTCTGTCTGTCTGCCTGCCGGGGTAAGAAGGAGGAGCTGACCTGGCCTTAGAAGGCCAGGAAAGGGAGCTGCCAGGGACCCCAAGAGTCTCTCCTTTGGAGGTCTCTCCTGTATACCATCTGTGGAGGGGCCGTGTGACTCCCAGGAGCGGGGAGGGTAGCTGGTGGCACATCTGATGCCCCAGCTCCCAGGCTATCCCGGGGGCTAGGGAGGGGGTGGGAGATGGAGTCCCGGCCAGAACCTGGAGCACACTCCTGCCCCTTGCTCCCTATGGTCTGGTGTATGTGTGGACTCCAGGAAGAACAATTGGGGCAGGTGCCCATGAGACGTGTCCCTGTAGCATGAAGCATGGAAGCGAGGCAGCAAAGACCCTATCGCTGATGGGGGTGGGAGCCGAGAGCACTAGTGTCCCTGAAGGAGATGAGGGGAAGCCCCAGGAGAATGGGAGAGGCCATGTCCCTGACCAGGCTGGGGTCTTCAGACCCTACCCCTTCAGTTGGGGGTAGGAACCAAGCCCAGCAGCCACCCATGTCTGGGTGTCCTCCCACTCCCTCTGCCCAGTCCCAGCCACTCACAGGCGACGGAGCCGAGGAGTGAAATGGAAGGCGTCGGGTGCCACAGAGCGGAGCCCACTCTTAACGATGGTGCTGGGGAGGGTGCAGCAGCAGGTCAGCCCACAGGGCCCCCCTTTCTGGACCCCACCTCTCTGCCCATCCAGACCCCGGCCCCCAGTGCTGAGCCCTGGACCCCCTTGATCCCCCACAACCCTGGACCCCCCATTCCCCCACAACCCTGGACCCCTCCTCTCTGCCCACACCAGACCCTGGCCCCCATGCCTGAGCTCTGGACCTCCTACTCCCCTAAACTCCAGACCCTGCGTCTATGCCCACACCAGACCCAAGCCCCCAGCCCTGAGCCCTGGACCCCCTCCATCCCCCACAGCCTCTCCAGCTACCTTGGGCCCCAAAAACCCCTGAGCTTTCTGCTTTCCTGCAGCCCCTCCATTCTCAACCTCCCTGAGTCGCTGATCCCCCAGGCCCTGTGCTGTCCCCACACAGTGACAGTCAGCCCCCTCACAGGTCTCTCAGCATCCCCAGGCCCTTCAGGTGAATGGCATCCAGATGCTGCAGATGCTCTTGGTTGTCGATGTAGCTGCGGGGAAAGAGGGTGGGAGTCAGGGGCCCAGGCCCACATCCGCCCACCTGCCTCACGATACACATGCAGGTGCATGCACACATATTTACCCAGTCACACACACCCTGGTGCATACACATATACACAGTGACACACGTGCATGCAGGCATGCATCCTCACACCGTTACACGGCCACACTCACACGTCTCATGTGTGCACACAGTCATGCACATGCACACACAGGCATAAACACACACGCAGAGATACACCTCTTCTTGCATGTTCACACACGCACTTGTGTGTGCACGGACCAAGGTGTGCACATCAGCATGCTTACACATCACACATGGACATGGTGTACATATATGTCTCATGTGCACACACGGATTCACATTCATAAACACACAGAAGCCCATTCTCAGCTTGGGGTTCTGCTTTTTTACACAGGGCCTCCCCTATACATGCTCAGAGATGGGTGTCACACTAGAACGCTCACTGCCACAGAGAATCAAGACTCACCAGAGCCACTGCCCCCACAGCACAGAGGGGACTCTGTGGTCATGCAAGGATGTGTGTACCCAGACACGGGGTCACTATCTGGGTTGCCCCCCACTGCGGCACATACACACACACACACACACACACACACACACACGCTCACTCACACACAACCTCAGAAAGACAGGCCCCTCCCTACTCTCAGGCAGCCATCCCTACCACCCCCTTCCACCCTACAGCAGTACAGCGAGAGGCTCAGAGGCTGCCCCAGGAGGGACCCAAGAAGGGGAAGAGGGGCACTGGGAGCGGCACCCAGGGAAGGGGTGGGGGGTGAAGGGGCCCAGACAGGCTAGCTTACATGGCAAGATAGTGATGGGAAGGCTCAGGGGAGGGGGGAGGCAGGGCAGAAAAACACAGAGAAAGTGAAACAGAGACTCCGAGAAAGAGATGATGAGCAAGAAGAGACTGGCAGAGAGAGAGACTGGTGAGAGAACAGACAGAGATAAGGACAGAGACACAGAGATAAGGATAGAGCTCAGGAGAAAGCCAGGTAGGGAGCCGGACAGGAGGACAGGAGGATGCACACGTGGGGATGGAGGCTGCTGACGCCCTGGGCCCTGCCCAGCATCTGGATCTGGCACGCCATGGAGTTCCTGGGAACTCGGGTGCCCTGCAATGGCATGTCAGTGTACCCCTACACACGCACACACGCACACATGCACACATCACACTCGCCAGGGGCCCCTGACTCACTGCCTGTTCTCAGAACTCTCTCCTCTCACTCTCCTTAGCTGGAACGAGGAACAGTCCCAGTGACCTCTCCCCCTCCCCCTTCCCAGCCTGGGCCCCAGCAGCAGAGCCAGGTAGGGGGTCCTCCACTGGGAGGCTTAGAGAGCAATCTCCAGTGACTGGGGCCAGAGCCGGTCCCTGCTCACAGGGTTTAGAGCTGTAGGGACCCAGGGAGGGGTGGCGGCTGTGTGCAAGCTGTCAGGCAGCACACTCAAAGCTGCCTCATTCGTTTGGATTCATCATCAATCTGTCTTTTGAGTCCATTATCTCCTCGTTAGCTCTGCGGGTGAGGGAGGAGGAGGGGATGGGCAGGCAGAGGCAGGGGGTCAGGCTGCTGCCCCACCCAGAGGAACCTCTTGGCTCCCCACCCTGCATGCCTCCTGGTCCCCAGCCCAGCCGGTCCACTCCCCCCCCCCGCCCCCTCCCCTGCTGGGGTTGGACCCACTTGGGGAAGGGAATGGGAAAAGAGCTCTGATGAGGAACATTCAGGATTGGGGCCCTGGTATGAAGGCACAGGGGACTGGGGAGGACTGGGCTGGGGGTAGCAGCCCCTCCCATCATGCAGAACCCTAGGCCCAGACCCAGACAAGGCCATCTCCTCTCTTCCTGGTCTCCCTAGGGCCATTAAAGAGAGAGACTGAGGACCTTCCCGTTAATTACCACGAGATACCAGAGTAACTCACTGCCAATTATCTCAGGCTACTCAAGTAACTTCCAGACAGTGATGGTTCCCACCTCGGATGCCTTCCAACCTGTCACCGTCACCGCATGAGGCCAGGGTTCCTTGACCACCCTCTAAGTCCCAGGCGGCAGGAGGGGGATTTTTCTAGCAGTTCCTCCCCTCTTCTCAAAGTCTTGCTGGCCTCATCAGCTACATAGAATACTCGAGTATTTTCCAGGCATCACCATGTGATGCTCAAGTACCTCTAGGCCAATTATTACAGAACACTCCCATAGGTTTCACCAGCTGCTAAGAAGTACTCCAGTATTTTGTAACCAATTACTGCAGGATGTCAGAGTACTACAGAATGCTGGAGTTTTCTCTTAGTTTGGAGCCCTGAAAAGAGGAGAGTCTGTCAACAAGAGCCCTGGCTCTCGGCCTCAAAGAGGGGGACAAGGTGGAAAAGGAGATGGGGTCAAGAAAGCTAGAAGTCTCATTTTCTACATCCAAATCAAGGTATAGTGGGGATGAGAAATGGTGGAAATGCGGAGAGGAGAGCTCAGGCACCAAGCTATGCCTCCTCACCACCTCCCACGTATTGCAATTAAATCCCCAGTTCCAGAGGCAAGAGTTGGTGTTGCCAGGTCATGGCATGGAACGGGGTAGGGACCAGCTTCCCCCTTAAGGGGCTAAGGCGGTAAGGGTGCCAAACAGTGGGGTTCTCCGCAGCTAACCAACCCCCCCTCCAGGAGGCAGAGCTTGGACTCCTGTCTGATCTCCGGAAGGCTGCTTCCAGATGGCTGGGCTGTCTCAGATCTGGTCCACGGACAGCCCCTTGCCCCAGCTGCACCGAGCACTAGGCACGGTCCAGAGGGTCATTGCGGTGGTGGCCGAGAGCCACGGCGGGCGGAGGTGGCCCAGGTGCAGCCTCTGGACCCCGCCAGCCAGACTAGTGTCCGCGCCCTCGGGGCACGGCTCCGCCCGCCCGCGCCCGTCCGCCCACCCGCCCGCGGGACACTCACAGCTCCGTCAGGTTCTCAACGCCTGGCAGGCGGTGGAGGCTCTGCAGGGCCCCGGCCCGGGTGCAGCGCAGCCCCGAGGGGCCGTGGGGGCAGCAGACATCGGGGCAGGGCGCGGCGCCCGCGGACGCCAGCACCAGCCAGGCCAGCAGGCTGCCAGGCCCCGCCGCCCCGTGCCCGCCCCGCTGCCCAAGCCGTCCGCCTCGCAGCATCGCGCCGGCGGGCAGCCGTCCGTGCGCTCCCAGCCGCGGCCGCCGGGCCTCCCCAGACACGTGCGCCCGCCGCGTTAAAGACCGGGCCGCCGGGAAAGGGCGGGGCCCGCGACCCGCCCCGCCCCGCCCTGCCCCCTCCAGCTCCACCTCCGCCACTCCGGTCCTGGCCCCCAGGCCGCCCCTACCCCTTTCTGGGGACCCCGAGCGCCCCCTCCCCCAAAACCCTCTGTCGCAGAAGGCACGCCTTGGAGGTCCTTGCTGGGGTGGGGGACTGCGGCTGAGAAGTTGATCCGTTATTTCTCCCAGCCTATGCTGCCCTTAGGGGGCGAGGAGATGACAGGGCAGGGGCAAGGTTACCGTCGGGGTCGTCCCAGCCAGCCCCGTCCCCCACCATCGTCCACCGCCCTCCCATCCCCCACCCCCGCCCTCAGATCTCCCTCCTCACGGTGCGCGCCCCGGGGGCAGTGTACGGTGTCACTTGGGGTAAATGAGGTGCAACACTCTCTAACCTTAGGAAGAAAGGGCAAGGGATCCCACAAGGACCGAACGCAGGATCTGGGGAAAGAAGGCACAGCCGAGGTAATGTGTCGCCCCAAAACAGCCCGGGAAGGGAGCCTAGGGAGCCGGACGCCCGCTTCCGGGAGAGACCACAGGGTGGCGCTGGAGGCCCGCGCGCAGAGGTGCGAGCTCCAGGGCGGGGGGAGCGGTCTGCAACCCCACCGGGAGGCGTCCCCGGCCCCAGCGACCCGCCCTGACCCCAGCCGGCCAGCGCCGGGCCCGGGCCGGGTGGGGTCCCGCCGGGCTGGGCTGGCATCGATCGCCGCCCTGACAAGAGCATCGATTTCTGCACGGAGAAATTAATAGATCTTCTCTTAGCTCCTCGGACCCGGGAGCCGCCCGCGGGTGGAGCTGGGGACCCGTCGGTCCTCGAGGGCCGCGCACCCGGAAAGCCCCGGGATCCCCAGCGCCTCCCGCCTCGCGGGCCTCGGTGGCTGAAGGAGCCCGCCGGTCTCAAGCGGGGAGGGCCGGTAAGGGCGAGCAAGAGGGTCCGGGAGGAGGGACTCGGGCAGGGAGAGCAGGGGGGCCGCAGGGAGAGCGCGAAGCAAGCCCTCGGAGGGCGAGAGGAGCGGTTGGCCCTTCGCCAGGCTCCCAGCGCAGGCCGTCCTCCAGCTCCGAGACAGGGACAGACAGACCGACGGCAGCGGGCTTGGGAAGGCGACCGGACAGAAGCGGGCGCACAGGATCTCGGTTGTGGCGAGGGACTTGGCTGGGATGGAGCCTCGCGCGAAAGCGGAGTGGCAGCCTCGGGGGCTGCGAGGGGCTCCGGCAGGAGAACGGCTTGCCGCCGGGTTTCCGCAGGCTCGCTCCGCCGGGTCCTGGCTGCCAGAGCCACCCAGCAGGTGTCAAGGCTCCGGGGCTGCAGAACTCCCCCTCCACCCCGCCCCCCCCCTCCGCTGGCAGCGCGGCCCCACGTGAGTGAGTCCGCAGGGGCAATGGGAGAGCTCGGTCCGGCCAACCATCCCCCTGTATTTTGGCCTTATTTCCCCAACAGACCTGTCCCCCCTCAGTTGTCAGGCTAAATATTTTGGCTCGGCGGGAAGGGCAGAGAGAGCCGGAGTTTCCAGCAAGCCAATCCGCTTGGCCCTGGAGCAGGGAGGGCGGGGAGCTGGGCGCGGCTCCCATGCCCCACAGATAGCCGGAGGAGGAGGCCCCCCTGCCCCTCCCGACTCTGGGCCCCCTGCGGCTGCGGGTGTGGGTCGGGGACGCTCTCTCCCCGCCAGTCCTCGCCGCTCTCCAGGGCAGGCTTCTGTGCTGCGCTTGCTCCGGGTTGGTAGGCCTCCTGGACTGCCTTTTGCTGCGCACCCCTGCTGCCTTCCTCCCTCTGGAGGCCTCTCTGCGGCTCCTATGCTGCCCTCAGCATCTCCACATCCAAGCTCATCCCTCTGTCTCTGAGCTCAGACTGAGTCTCTATCTGCACTGCCTGTCACTGTCTTTGCTGTATCTCTGTGTGGGATGCCCCCTTGGTGGGCCCCTACCCTTCCCTCCCTGCTGAAGCCCACATCTCTGTGGCCCTCAAGGCCTGCCAGACCCCTGCTCCTCCCTGGAGCCATCTGCAGAAGTCAGGACCGGGACAATGGCAGTGCCCAGTCTGTGCCCATGGGTCGCATGCCTGCTGGTGATCCTCCTCTCCTTGGGATTTGGCCTGGACACACTAGAGGGTGAGTCCCCCAACACTGTCTCCGGGAGCCCCATCTTCTCCCTCCCACATCCCCCAGCCAGCTGCGAAGCCAAACAATTGAGTGTCTAGACAGAACACATGTGTTTACCTCCTTGTAACATAAAGACTGGGGTTAGCTCTTGGAAGGACTTCCCACCAGCAAGGTCAATCAGCTCCCCAGATAAACATGGTTTCCTCTCAGTTCCCTCTCAGTTCCAATGTGAGAGGGGCCTTGACACAGAGAGATGAACAGATGTCCTCCATTCCTGCTTGTGGAACCGTGATCCCAGTAAGCCTCAATGAGAATGGCACAAGGGGGAGCATCTTGGGAGTCATTTCTAGAGCGACTGAATTCAACGGGCACAGGGATGGATGGGATGGGTAGCTGATAACTGGACATCATGAGGTAACTGAACCCATTATGCAGACAAGGAACTGAGGTCCAAAAGGTTGGGAGGGAAAGCTGGCCTGGGGTCCCTGGCACTGGCCCCAGGGCCTTATTCCCTAGCCCTCATACCTAGGGCCCATCCACTGGGAATGGGGGCTGCTTTTCATTAGTGCTGTGGGCCAGACACTTCCCAAGAGCAGAGTCTGGAAGGGGAGGACCATAAAGACCAAGTGGCCCTTGTAGGTGTTCGGAGAGCCTGGGTGGGGGCAGAAGCTGAGCATGCAGGTTTCAAAAGGAGAAGGATTAAAAGCATGCCTTTCCCCAATGCCACCATTCCCTTCCAGACTGAGGCCACTCAGGGTTCCAGTGCTCTGTGCCCACCTGAGGGGTCCTGGGACCCCTCAGACTCAGGGCTTCCTGGAGCAGGTCTAAGTCTCCCCTTCCTACAGAGACAGAGGGAAGATGCAAATGGGTTGGGGTGGGGGTGGTGGGTCCCCTGAAGAGTGCCAGTCAGGACGGCATTGCATGCAAGGACCAGCTCCTCCTGCTCACCCCTGCTCTCTTCCACTGCTGCGCTAAGGCAGATGCCAGCCAGGAGCACCGTTGTCAGGAGGGAAGCACATCCCTGGGAGGGGGTAGGGGCTGGCATGTGGTTGTTTGCTCAGGGAACCCAGATGTCCCGTTCCCAATGCTATGCACAGGGCCATGTCCTGAGGGGAGGCAAGCAAGGGTTAATCTGTGAAAGTCGTGGATTTGTTTTTCCAAATGACTCCCATCAGGGGAGCCCTAGAGAGGCAGGGGCATGATGGGAAGTGGCATGTGGGCGCCTTGTAGAGCCTGATTGGCCTTTGCCTGGAGGGCTACAAGTGTTTTCTCATCCTGTCTTGCACTTTTTGTGTGTGTGCTTGCTCAGACACACACACACACACACACACACAGTAACAGGGCAGAGCCAAGCACAGGGACCATTCACAATAGGGAGAAGATATGATGTAAGGCCCAGGGACTGGGCCTGGGTCTGTGGGAGATGCCGAGGGCCAGGCAGGAAGCAGGAGCTAGAGAGCCTAGAGGGCTTGAGTGGCCAGCTGAAGAATTCAGAGTTGAGTCTTCTGCCATGGAAGGAAGGTATTGACGGGAGCAAAGTGAGAGTGCATGGTCCAGGTACTTAGCCCACTTAGGGACTGGTCCTAGGGGCCTCAGGAAGAGAAGCCAGACACGCCCTGGTCCCCAGGAGAGATGTGGACTTGGAAACCAAATGTCCATCAATTCAAACCACAGTCCCTAAAAAAAAAAAAAAAAAAAAAAAAAAAAAACCACAGTCCCTGAGTGCCTGGTGGGTCCAGCTCTGAACTGGGAGCACCACGCAGGGACAGAGTGCTGACCAGCAAAGGCCTAGCCCTCCAGAGATCCACTCCCTAGAGGATGACAAAAATGTAGATGGCGGTTGTGGGTGCTAGAGCAAGTGCTACCTAGCCCAAAGGGGAAGTGATTAATTCAGGTCAGAGGATCAGGGAAGGTGGGCTTGACCTGCGGTTTTGGGACAGGAGCTGAGCCTGTGACCAGGCATCTAGCTCCCTCAGGCCGAGGAGGGAAGTGGGGTGTATGAAGCTCTGCTTTTCAGCCACAGAACTCATTCATTCGTTCATGAAGTATGGCCAGAGCACCAATTTTGTGCCAGGCACTATACCAGGCACCAAAGATATAGCAATGAGTTATACAAAGATACCTGCCCTTCTGGAGCTTCCAGTAAACAAAATAAGTCAATTATATATTAGCCAGTGTTAAGATTTAAGCAGAAAAATTAAGTAGGAAGGGGGGTTGGAAGTGTTTAAAAGGAGGGGTCAGAGATGACCTCATTGAGGAGGGGACATCTGCGGAGACTTAAAGGAGGTGAGGGACCTTTAGAGGGAACAGTGTTCTGGCCAGAAGGAACAGAAGGTGCAAAGACCCCAGAGCAGAAGCTTGACTGGCTTGTTTGAGGAACAGCAAAAAAGTCAGTGTGGCTGAAGAAAGGGAGGGGGCATGGGGTCAGAGAAGCTGTAGAGGCCTTGCCAGCTGAGGTAAGGACTTGAGCTTTCAGTCAGTCAGTCAGTGAGATGGGGGCCACCATGGGGTGGAGGAACAAGATCCAAACTGTTTTGAGAAGATCCCCTTGGCTCTACAGTGCAGAGCAGACGGGGCCGGGGGGACAAGGGTGGAAGTGGGGGGACCATCAAGGAAGCCACTGCTGCTTACCCAGGAGAAAGGGATGGTGCCAGCTGCAGAGGTAGTAACAAGTGGTTGGATATGCTGTCATTTAAAGGTTGAGCCCACAGGGTGGGGAGCAGAGGACAGGAGTCGAAGGAGACTCTGGATTCAGAGGAATGAAGTGGTAATGCCCTGAGGAGTGAGGCAGGCTGGGGAGGGAAGGGGAGCTCACGTTTGCCCACGTCCAACCTTCAAGCTGCCACGAGCCTCGAGCCTCGGAGACCCAGGGAGGAGGCCACAATAGAGCTCTGCTCCCAAGCAGGGTCCCCCTCCTCCAAAGCTGCCAGGGCAGGACCGGGTGCTCAGCCCACGGTGTGCTGATGGCTGCCTCTGACCTGTGCCCCCAGTGTGCCCCAGCCTGGACATCCGCTCAGAGGTGGCGGAGCTGCGCCGGCTGGAGAACTGCAGCGTGGTGGAGGGCCATCTGCAGATCCTGCTCATGTTCACGGCCACGGGCGAGGACTTCCGCGGCCTCAGCTTCCCACGCCTCACTCAGGTCACTGACTACCTGCTGCTCTTCCGCGTGTACGGCCTGGAGAGCCTGCGGGACCTCTTCCCCAACCTCGCGGTCGTGCGCGGCGCCCGCCTCTTCCTGGGTTATGCGCTGGTGGTCTACGAGATGCCGCACCTGCGGGACGTGGGGCTGCCAGCGCTGGGGGCCGTGCTGCGCGGGGCCGTGCGGGTGGAGAAGAACCAGGAGCTCTGTCATCTCTCCACCATCGACTGGGGGCTGCTGCAGCCCTCCCCCAGCGCCAACCACATCGTGGGCAACAAGCTGCGTGAGGAGTGTGCCGACGTGTGCCCCGGCGTGCTGGGTGCCACCGGCCAGCCCTGCGCCAGGACCACCTTCAGTGGGCACACCGACTACAGATGCTGGACCTCCAGCCACTGCCAGAGAGGTAGGCACCAACCCAGAACACACGCGGGTGGCACCAGGAGCGGGGGGGTGGGGGGGAGGGCTGGGTGGCCATAGGATGGCATGGGTCCCCACCACCCTGCAGCCCCTAATCCTCACTGGTCCTGTGAGATGGGTCCTCTCTCTGTTCCCATCTTGCACTTGAGGGAATGGAAGATCAGAAAAGTTCAATAACTGAGTTAGCAGAAGGCTGTCAAGGGACTGGGCAAGACAGCATTTGGGAGTCAGGGAAAGGACAGGTGCAGGGTGGGCAGGGCTGGCCCCAGGGCCAAGGCACAGGAACCCAATGGGGCAGCGGTTAAGTACAAAGCCAGACAGCCTGGGCCCCAGTGTCAGCTCTACTACTCTACTGGCTTTGTTCATGTAGCGTATCTGTGTCTGTTCCCTCAACTGTAGAATAATCACAGGATTGTTATGAGCAATGAGCTGTCCTGTAATCACCAGAGCAGTGCCTGGGCCCTGGTAGGGGTTCTAGGTTCCAGGGGACCCCAGGCAGGCTAGCAGTATTGTCATGGGGCGGGGGTGGGGGCGGGGGGACAGGAGCTGGGTGGGAAAGGAGAGGAGGAGTGACCCAGGAAGGACAGAACAGGTGGGATCTTCTTTAGGAAGCCAGGCCAATGGAGAGAAAACAGAAGGAAGGAAGCAGAGCAAAGGAGGGAAGCGATGTAAGGAAGGAATAGCAGGAGGAGGAAGCAGAAGTTACGGAGAGAAAAGGAAGATCTTCCAGAGGCTAGGAGCAGATCTGGGGTCCCCAACCCAGGGTTCCTTTGCCCCAAAGCCTGGGCAGCAGGGCAGAGGGTAACCAGATCCCTGCTGTATCTTCTAGGCCCCATCTCCCCATGCCTACCTGTTGGCTGTAAACACAGTGGCTGCACGTCCTCTCTCATGTACAGTGTCAACACGCCCTGGCTGACCTCTACCATATGCCCTACTCCCACAGATGTTGGGCTGCCACCGGCCCCAAACCCACCCACTGCTGCTTGGGGCCACCTCCTGCCCAGGGCACAGAGCTGAAGAGGGTAGAGGCATGGGCAGGGCATGGGTGAAATGACCAGTGGCGCCCCCTCACTGCACACACTCCCAGGCCCACTGGCCGCAGGCCTCACTGCCCAGGAGAAGCTGGCAGGTTCCCCCTGGCACCATGCCCAGGGAGGATCTGTGCACCAGGCCTAGATGAGACAGTAGGCTGGGTAGAGGCAGCCCTGCTGGACAAGGTCACTGCTCCGTCCTGAGCTCTGACAACCCTAACCAGGTGCTGTGGGAGAGGGGAAGCCACAGAGAGGAGCCATGGTCCTTGTCCTCAAGAGCTTCATCTGAGGAAAAGGGGGCCAGTAACCATTGTCATTTGAGTTGGAGGAATTTGGATGCTGACTAATAATGCTATCCAAGGGGGAGGGGGTGGCGCCAGAACCAGTGGGGGAGGCCTAACCAAGCACTCTGTCCACAGTGTGTCCCTGCCCCCATGGGCTGGCCTGCACAGCTGGGGGTGAGTGCTGCCACATTGAATGCCTGGGGGGCTGCAGCCGGCCGGAAGACCCCCGTGCCTGCGTCGCCTGTCGCCATCTCTACTTCCAGGGTGCCTGCCACCGGGCCTGCCCTCCAGGCACCTACCAGCACGAGTCCTGGCGCTGTGTCACGGCAGAGCGCTGTGCCAGCCTGCGCTCTGTGCCCGGCCGCACCTCCATCTTTGGCATCCACGAGGGCAGCTGCCTGGCCCAGTGCCCTCCGGGCTTCACCCGCAACGGCAGCAGGTGAGTGTCAGGGGATGGGGGCATTCTTGGATCAGTGAGGAGGTCCACACTGGTCCAGGGCTCATTCCACATCCTCCACTTGCCCCTGCTAGCATGTTCTGCCACAAGTGTGAGGGGCTGTGCCCCAAAGAGTGCAAGGTGGGTACCAAGACCATCGACTCCACGCAGGCGGCACAGGACCTGGCGGGCTGCACCCACGTGGAGGGGAGCCTCATCATCAACCTCCGCCAGGGCTGTCAGTACCTTCCTCGGGCCCACACCTCTCCTCCTGGTCATGCCCCCTACAGTGACCCAGCTAAAGCACTGCTTTCCATCACCCGGGTCCCAGTCCCGAGGGTCCCCTTCCTGGCACCCCTAGTCAGCACCTTCCCCCTACCCCCTCACCCCTGGTGGCCATACATACAGTTCCATCACTTTCCCCACCCTGCTCCAGCCCTGTCTTCCCCATTTCCAGACAACCTAGAGCTGGAGCTGCAACAGAGCCTGGGGCTGATAGAGACCATCACTGGCTTCCTCAAGATCAAGCACTCCTTTGCCCTCGTGTCCCTGGGCTTTTTCAAGAACCTCAAACTCATCCGAGGGGACGCCATGGTGGATGGGTAAGGGGCAGAAACAGCCTCTGACCAGCTCCCTCTATCGCATTTCCTTCCTAACACTCCCACAACAGGGGGAAAGAGCATGGGCTCTGGAATCAGCTCTGCTGTGTGCTATTTGTGTGACACTGGGTAGGTTAACTTCTCTTGTCCTCAATTTTCTCATCTGTAAAATGGGATTCACATAACAGTACTTATTTCTTAAGACTGTCGTGAATATTACTTACATTGTTATGTGTAAAGCACTTAAAACAGTGCCAGAACACAGTGTATACTATACAAGTTATGGTGACATCAAACTGCGCATAGGTTGGCTATGTTCTGTGATACTCTCAGCTGCAGAGCAAGATGGCCTGGGTCTGAAAACTATCCCTGCCACCTACCAGTCAAGACCTATCTGTACCAGCTAGGATTTTCAAAATACAGAGTTATTTATTTATTTGTTTATTTGAGTGTGGGGGAGGGAGCAGAGGGAGAGAATCTTTAGCAGGCTTCACACCTGGAGCCTGAGGTGGGGCTTGATCTCAGGACCCGGATATCATGACCTGAGCCAAAATCAAGAGGGTGCTCAATGGACTGAGACACCCAGGTGCCCCCAGAGAATTTTCTTAATGACCAACCAGCCAAGTGGTTTCTCATGTCTCCCCCAAACTAACATGGACCCCTAGGGGTGCCCACACTCCAGCTGGAGAAGCATAGTCCCAGGCTGAGTGCCCTCCTCCTCTGTGCTCCCAGCACAGCCCCTCTAGGAGGGACCCATGGGGCACCACTGTTCCCCACCCTTCGCCCCCACCTCCCTGCAGCACACGGTGCCTCAACCTCCCCCAGGAACTACACCCTGTATGTGCTGGACAACCAGAACCTACAGCAGCTGGGGGCCTGGGTGGCTGCGGGGCTCACCATTCCCGTGGGCAAGATATACTTCGCTTTCAACCCTCGCCTCTGCTTGGAGCACATCTACCGCCTGGAAGAGGTGACCGGCACGCGGGGACGGCAAAACAAGGCTGAGATCAACCCCCGCACCAACGGAGACCGCGCCGCCTGTAAGGCCCAATGCCCCAACCCCGGAGACAGGACGCCCAGAATCCCCAGGCGCGCACACTGAAAGACCTCCGACACGCACCCCGACACGCACCCGGGCGGGAGGGGACATTTGACGGGGACAACGTGATAGGTTCTCTAACGAGGCCGCGTGGGGAGTGGCACCCGCGGGGTCAGAGTGGAGACGCGGGAGTAGGCGACTCAGGTGGAGACGAAGGCGGCTGACAGTAGGTGTTGGCCCCCCCGCCCCGCCCAGGCCAAACTCGCACCCTGCGCTTCGTGTCCAACGTGACGCAAGCTGACAGCATCTTGCTGCGCTGGGAGCGCTACGAGCCGCTGGAGGCTCGGGACCTGCTCAGCTTCATCGTGTACTACAAGGAGTCGTGAGTGCCGGGCCGGGGCCGGAGTGGGCAGGGCGGGACCAGAACCACGTGGGGCGGGGGCGGGGCCAGGGCCAGAGCCCCCTTGGAGCTGGGCCAGAATATGCTGGGGCGGGGTCAGAACCAGCCAGGCCAAACTGTTCCCAAAAGCGGTCGGGTGAGAGCAGGGTGCAGCGAGGCTGTAGAGAAGCAAGAAGCGGGGACCCCGAAGTCTCACTCCCTTGTAGGGCCCATGTCTGGCTCTCCCTCACTTTATTCACCTCTCCGTGCCTCAGTTTCACCTCACCAGTGAAATGGAAGGTCAGAACTTCTGAGAGATCAAGAGAGGCACCCTCCTGGGAAGGCTTGGATAATTAAACTTCAATTCACTATGCTAATGTTCCGTACTGACCACACGCTCCTGCCCCAGCAGCGGTTTGGGGAGTACCCACTAATTTGGCCAGCTTTATCCGTAGCTCTGCCAGCATTTCATTAAAGTCTGAGGAGGGGAGTCAGCAGCAACAGCCAAGGACAAAGGGCTGCTCTTTTCTTTGGAGAAAGCGTACTGACCATAGCAGGAGGGATAGTGGTTAGACCACAGGAAAGATTTCTCCAAAAGCATGGCTAGGAATCAAAACTAAAATTCTCAGAGGAGAGGTGGGCTTGGGAGGGCAAGCTGGGAGTGCAGCAGTAAGGAGTACTCCCGTCCGTGATAGACAGAAGATGGGAGCCACCTGGCTTGGAAGCATTCCTGTGAACTAAAACTGAGAGGTATTAGTTTCCCACTAGCACAGGGGCCTGGCATGGGAGGAAAGGGAGAAGTCAATGGTGGGAGGCCGGCTCAATGGCCAAGGCTCTCCTGAGCTTCAGTGGTAGGTGCAGGTCTCCAGCATGGGAAGCTAGAGGGTTTGCTAACTACAAATTCTTGGGTCCCACCCTCATAGATTCTGATTCAGTTAGTCCTGGAGAGCCTGTGAATCTGCATTTCTAACAAGTTCACAGGTAATCCTGAATCTTCTGGTCGATGGACCACACTTTGAGGAGCACTAACATGGGCTGGCAGTGTGCATCCCCTGCCTGGCTTGTGCAACTCACAATCCACACAACTATATCCACCTGCCTCTGGGCTCAAAAGATAGAGAATCTTAGGGGTCCTTCAGGAAGTTCCCCTAGCATCACTGCCTTGCAGCCTGGCTGTAGCTATGCTCACTCAGATATCCTGTGGGTCCTGTCTCAATCCAGCTCTAAGCATACTCAGTGAGTGAGTGCTCCCCAAAAGCAGGATGCCTTCATGCATACTGGAAGAAGAATGATAATGACAGTCTCAGAGAGGAGGGGTTGCTAGAAACTGGGGTGGGGCTGAGCCACCCCTCAGCTCCAGGGATGCGGTTTTCAGCCCATTCCAGAATGCCACAGAGCACACAGGTCCAGATGCCTGTGGAACCCAGAGCTGGAACCTGCTGGATGTGGAGCTGCCCTTAAGCCGCACCCAAGAACCCGGGGTGACTCTAGCACCCCTCAAGCCCTGGACACAATATGCAGTGTTTGTACGGGCCATCACACTGACCACTGCTGAGGACAGCCCCCACCAAGGAGCCCAGAGCCCCATCGTCTACCTCCGAACCCTGCCTGCGGGTAGGCTGAAGACTCTGAAGGGGGTGGGAGCTAGATGCCCAAGTCCTTTTTTTTTTTTTTTTTTTTTTTTTGCCCAAGTCCTAATGAGAATGAGGGAACCCAGCACCCGAAATAGAGAAGCTGGGTTGCTGAACACCTTGCCCCTAGAGATTGGGAAGCCAGATGCTTGAGTCCTAGAAAGAACAAGGGGCATTCACCTAGGTCCTAGGGAAGCTGTGGCTGGGTTGTGCAGGAGGACTTGAGCCAATTCAAGGGCCTTGGAGGAACATGGGAGGGCCAGGATTCTGAGTTCCAGGAAGGGGAGGTTGAGGGTCAGGGATGCTTGGACCTCAAAGAGGAGCCCATTACTGGACAGGACTTGAAAGGGGCATCCACCTCCCCTCAGCCACACCCTACTTACTTCCCCAGCGCCCACTGTGCCCCAGGACGTCATCTCCACGTCCAATTCCTCGTCCCACCTGCTGGTGCGCTGGAAGCCACCGATTCAGCGCAACGGGAACATCACCTACTACCTGGTGCTGTGGCAGCGTCTGGCGGAGGACGGCGACCTCTATCTCAACGACTACTGCCACCGCGGTGCGCGGGGAGCAGCCCGGGCCTGAGGGTCGGGGGCGCTGGCCCGGCGCGCTGTACCAGCGTCTGACCGGGTCTCTCCCCGCGCCGCGCCAGGCCTGCGGCTGCCCACCAGCAACAACGACCCGCGCTTCGACCGCGAGGACGGTGAACTCGAAGCCGAGATGGAGCCGGGCTGCTGCCCTTGCCAGCACCCACCGCCTGGGCAGGTCCTGCCGCCGCTGGAGGCGCAAGAGGCCTCGTTCCAGAAGAAGTTCGAAAACTTCCTGCACAACGCCATCACCATCCCCAAGTGCAGCGGGATCCGGGGGCAGGGCGGGCTCGGGGGGAGGGGAGGGGCGGGTCTCGCTGGGCAGGGGGATGGGGCGGGGCCTGAACCGGCCCTCCTCGGTCTCCCCAGGTCCCCCTGGAAGGTGACGTCCGTCAATAAGAGCCCTCAAAGGTGAGCCGGGCGGGACTGAGGGCGGGGGGGAGGCGGGCCCGGGCGCGACCGTGCGTCTGACTCGCGCACTCCCCAGACACGCGGGGAGGCACCGCCGGGCCGCCGGGGCGCTCCGGCTTGGGGGCAACAGCTCGGATTTCGAGATCCAGGAGGACAAAGTGCCCCGGGAGCGAGCAGTGTTGAGTGGTCTGCGCCACTTTACGGAATATCGTATCGACATCCATGCCTGCAACCACGCGGCTCACTCCGTGGGCTGCAGCGCAGCCACTTTCGTCTTCGCGCGCACCATGCCGCACAGTAGGTGTCCCCGCTCGTGCCACCGGCTCAAGAACTCTACCCACTTAATGCTCCAACTAGCGAGTGGGACCTCTGGATCAGTCCACAGCCTGGCTCTCCTCCCAGTTCCCATAAGTCCTGAGCTTCCTGGACACCCCCTTCCCCCGTTTAGCCCCCTTGCGTTTGATCCTGACTCTGAAACAGTGGGGTTGGGCTGGCTGATGCCCTCTCCCACAGGAGAAGCTGATGGCATCCCAGGGAAGGTGGCCTGGGAGGCAGCCAGCAAAAGCAGTGTCCTCCTGCGCTGGCTGGAGCCACCTGACCCCAACGGACTCATCCTCAAGTATGAAATCAAGTACCGCCGCTTGGGAGAGGTAGGTACCCCAGGAAGACCCCCAAACCTGGACCCAAGTAGTGCCTCCATCCTCTTCCCAGCCAGCTCTTCTGTATTGCCACCAGGAGGCCACAGTGCTATGTGTGTCCCGCCTACGATATGCCAAATTTGGGGGTGTCCAGCTGGCCCTGCTGCCCCCTGGAAACTACTCCGCCAGAGTTCGGGCAACCTCGCTGGCTGGCAACGGCTCCTGGACAGAAAGTATCGCTTTCTACGTCCCCGGGCCAGGTAGACATGGCCTCTGTCCCAGACTTGCGCTCCCATAGTCCCAGCTGGGTCCCCAGCCACATTGCCTGTGGTGGAAACCACAGGAACCGGGTGGCCACTCCACCCCCATTCCTCCCCTGTTCTCACTTCCCCGGTGAAAACAGAATTGTCTTCTACCCTCTGACTTCTCCATCTTTGACTCTACCATCTGCTGCCCTCTGACCACCAGAGGAGGAAGACTCCGGGGGGCTGCACGTCCTTCTCACTGTCACCCCCGTGGGGCTCATGCTGTTCATCATTCTTGCCGCCCTCGGTTTCTTCTACGGCAGGAAGAGGTGACGATGCCCAGGTTCCCACCCCATTCTCCCCCAGCCCTCTCACAAGGTCAGTGCCACCTGCGGGTGGTATATGAGACAGCACAGAGGAGGTTCCTTAGAAGCAATAACTCATCCCCTGGGGCAGCATGGAGGAGACAACACCTCTCAGTCTAGGTGACCGACTCCACCCATTTGCCGGGACTTTCCCCTACCTTACCAGTAGAGGTCCCACCTCCTGAGACTCCCCAGTCTAGGCACACTGGGACTACTAGTCCTCATGTTCTCAGTCAATAAAGTGGGAGAAGAGACAGGAGACTCACTGTGTGCCCTGGGATAGTTGGTGCCAGATGCCCCTGCGGCTGAACACAAGAGGGAAAAGGAGGCAGGCTTCTAAGGACTACCTGAGGAGGCAGGAGCTGCCCTCTTCCTGTGCTCCCTATTGCCAGCCTGTCCAATCCCAGATCCCAGGACAAGGACCAAGACCAGCTTGGAAAGTCACCCTGATCAGGGATGGGAGGGAGTATGGTCAGTAACTTCCCTCCCCCTTGCAGTACCCTCTTTCTTGTCCTCTGACATTGCTCCTTCCTTCCTGAGGACAATTCCTCACCTACCCTTGCAGAAACAGCACCCTCTATGCCTCTGTGAATCCGGAGTACTTCAGCGCCTCTGATAGTAGGTCTGGGAGTGGGTGGACAGGTGTGTGGACAGAAGGGGAGGAGATATTCTTAGAGAAGACAGCCTTGGGACCCAAGCCCTTCTGAAGAGGAGAGAGGTGGGTGGAGGCGTGGCAGAGAGCAGTGTTCTCTCCTGGTGACCCCACCTCCTCTTAGTGTACATCCCTGATGAGTGGGAGGTGCCTCGGGAGCAGATCTCCATAATCCGAGAGCTGGGCCAGGGCTCCTTTGGGATGGTATATGAAGGCCTGGCACAAGGACTAGAGGCTGGAGAGGAGTCCACACCCGTGGCCCTGAAGACAGTGAATGAGCTGGCCAGCCCACGAGAACGCATTGAGTTCCTCAAGGAAGCCTCTGTCATGAAGGCATTCAAGTGTCACCATGTGGTAAGGGATGCTAGGGGACATTGCTAAGGTAGGCTCATAACTAGGATGAAAGTCATATGATAAGAAGGAAAGGGCCAAGGATGAGATCAGGGTACCATCAAAGTCAGGGTTAGGAATATGGTTAAGATCCTAATTGAGGTAAAAGTCATGGTTAGGATTAGAGTCAAAACCAGGTCATGCTGGGGCCATGGTAGAATTATGGCTAGGACTGAGATCAGTCATGGGTGGGGGTCAATATTGAGTGTTCAGATCATTATTAGGATCATGATAAGGCTCAAGGTCAGAATGGGAATCGTGAGGATTGGAATGATAGTTATGATCAAGGTCATGGGTTAGAGTTAGGGTCATTGTTAGATCAGGATTAGGGTTATGGCCATGGTTGGGTTTAGGGTCCAGGTTGGTGTCTGGCTCAGGTTGTGGTCACAACAGGTCAAGATTTTGGCCAGCTGGTCAAGGGGACCTGGGTAGACCTGCAACCAGACTCTTTGTCCATCCCAGGTACGTCTCCTGGGTGTTGTGTCTCAAGGCCAGCCAACTCTGGTCATCATGGAGTTAATGACTCGTGGGGACCTCAAGAGCCATCTTCGATCTCTGCGGCCTGAGGCAGAGGTAGAGACCAGGAGTACCCTGAGCAAAGGGGCTGGGGGAGTTGGAGAAGACTTGGGCACAGTTGGAGGTGGGGATCCCTGGGCAGGAGTCCAAGCTCCAGGTACCCTCGTCACCAGCCCCCTCTCTTGGCTCTAGAACAACCCTGGGCTCCCACGGCCAGCACTGGGAGATATGATCCAGATGGCTGGTGAGATTGCAGATGGCATGGCTTACCTCGCTGCCAACAAGTTTGTGCATCGAGACCTGGCAGCCAGAAACTGCATGGTGTCCCAGGACTTCACCGTCAAGATTGGGGGTACAGGGGGATCCCTGGGTGGCTCAGCTGTTTGGCGCCTGCCTTTGGCTCAGGGCGCGATCCTGGAGACCTGGGATCGAATCCCACGTCGGGCTCCCGGTGCATGGAGCCTGCTTCTCTCTCTGCCTCTCTCTCTCTCTCTCTCTCTCTCTCTCTGTCTATCATAAATAAATAATTTTTTTTAAAAAAGGATTAAAAAAAAAGATTGGGGGTACAAGGGTGCCAGGTGGGTGGGGGGCAGCCTGGGGAGTAGAGCAACTCTTCTTAAGCTAAGCTAGGAGGCCCAGGCCTGGCCCACAGCTCTGTCCCTGACAGCCCCCACCCTGGATCTCAGGATTCTTCCAAGGCCAGAGGGGTTGTAATGGGGTGATCTCTGAGGTTCTTCGAGCCCTTACCTCTGGGATTCTTGGAGGCCAGGAAGGAGGAGAGGGCTGGGAGAAGTATCCCGGGGGCAGGGGCTGGTGTGTGGTCCTGCCGCCCCATACCTGCCCACCTTCACTTTCCAGACTTCGGGATGACTCGAGACGTGTACGAGACAGACTATTACCGCAAGGGCGGGAAGGGGCTGCTGCCCGTGCGCTGGATGGCCCCCGAGTCCCTCAAAGATGGAATCTTCACCACACATTCGGATGTTTGGTGGGGCCTGGCTGGAGCGGAGGGCTCAGGGGATGTGGAGGCGGGGTCCGGGGAGAGGCCTGGGTGCACTGAGCAGCATGCAAGGTGCTGGGCTTAGGCCCTTCTGCGTGTCCTCCAGGTCCTTCGGGGTGGTGCTCTGGGAGATCGTGACCCTAGCTGAACAGCCCTACCAGGGTTTATCCAACGAGCAGGTGCTCAAGTTTGTCATGGATGGTGGGGTCCTGGAGGAGCTGGAGAGCTGTCCCCTTCAGCTGTAAGTCACTCTTGCCCCACCCCTTCCTCATCGCTGCTCTGTCTACCCTGCCCTGCCACCATGATTCCGGCCTGCCTCCTCTATCCACTGGTCCCCAGCTCTGAGGCTTCCTCCTCTAAATCCCCACTACAACTGTTTACCCCTTGTGGCCCTCCCAACGGAGTCCCCCATGGTCCCCTTTGTGCCAGCTGGCCTCTCATGCTGCCCCCACCCCACCAGGCAAGAACTGATGAGCCGCTGCTGGCAGCAGAACCCACGCCTGCGGCCCACCTTCACCCACATCCTGGACAGCATTCGGGGGGAACTGCGGCCCTCTTTCCGCCTCTTTTCCTTCTATTACAGCCCAGAGTGCCAGGGGAGCCAGGGGGCCCTGCTGCCTAATGCCAAACCCAACTCCCTACCAACCCCAGAAGGGGCTCCCTCAGACTGCATGCCCCAAAATGGGGGTCCAGGGCACTGAGGGGACCCTTTCCCAGGATGACTGGCCTCCCCGGGGGGTGAACCAGATTGGGCCAGAGAGCAGGAGAGGAAAGATGGGGTGTGTGTGGGGGGGCGGTCAGAGCAGACTCACTGTAAGGATTTTCTCAGGAGTCTGAATTCTCTTCGAGAGAGTGAGCGAGGTCACAGCAGGAGGAGTGTACGAGAGGTCCAGGCCCTGAGTAGGAGCCCCTACTCAGACTGGAAAGAGGGGCTCACCTATCCAGAAGGCAGGGTCCAGAGAACCGCATCCTCAGCTTTGGGTCTCCTGTGGACGTCTGGGGCCATCAACACACTTGAAACCAGAAGAGCAACCTGCATCAGGCCTAGAAGCCTCCCTGTCCATGTTTGGGATGCTGGGGATGAGGTGTCCACACCACTGCCCTCGTCTTGGTGTCTCCCCTCCTCCCCCCTGCCTCATGCATCAGTTGGTGTGGGGAGAATCCAGTGGCCTGGGTGAGCACCGTCCCAAACTGGCCCCGAGGCCTGCCTCACTACTTCCTCTCCTTTGCCATACCCAGGGACCCCCCATGTTTGGTGCTCCTCCTCCCTTGTCCCCAGGGGCATCCCCTGGTGCAGATTCACCCCTTCTCCCAGGCCCTTCCTCTGGACCTCCCTCCTACCCTTGGATGATTGAGGCTTTAAGAGCCTTGTTTCCTCCCTGCCCTCTGCCCTGCCCCCCACCCCTGCCTCTCGCGGGAGGGCTGGAGAAGACACAATAAATGCTGAGGTCTGTTTGTGCCCTGGTCCAGGGCAGCCCATTATCTCTCCATCTATATGGTGTTAACACTGGCTGAACTTCCTCCCTCCCTCTTTGGGGACTTGACACGGTGACCCTGAGACAGGGACAAGGATAAATACACTGCTGTCAAGCCCCACCTCTGTGAGGACCCAAACAGCCAGGGTCGCCATGGCAGGGAAGCAGGACCGCCCCCCTTTTATCTGCAGCTGGGCTAGGGTGGTCAGAGGTGGTGGGGCCCAGCAGGGAAGCTTTGCATCTGGCCCCCAGCCTCACCCCAAACCGTTCCCCACGCCTCATCTTTGGGTACCCCGTTTCATTTCCTGGGGTCTGATAGGACAGATGAGGTGGGCAGAACAGGGGTGGGGAGGAACCCAATGACCACTTGGCGCTGGATGCCCCTGGCCAAGGCAGGAACACACATCAGAGCAGAGTCTGTGCGTCTGGCTCCCTTCGATTACCAGGAACAGAGATGCCCCAGAGGCATGCAGCAGAGCCCTGGGGAGTTCATTTCCAGGCTCTTATGCCCTCGCCATCAGGGCATTTCAGGAGAACTGTAGATAAAGGACATAAAATCCTGGTGAGGAGGATGGCAGCAGAAGGGGCTGGGCAGGGCTAGGCATTCTGTACCAGTGTCTCTTGTGTCCAGCCTTGGGGCCAAGCTCTCATGCTCCACACACTCCGCACTCCCCGCGCTCCACACACCAGAGGCTGGGGAGATTTGCACTTCTGAACGTGCTTGCTCACTCTTGCCCTGCAAACCACGGTCCTGAAGGCGGGGCCTGAGCAGAGTGGGCGCGAGCCTGTGTGAGACCATCTCTGTGACAGTGATTTCATCCCATGTACTACTGCCCTGGCAGGGTCAGGGTGGGCAGCAAGGGCCCCGGGCCCACCGACCACAGTCCTGCCCCTGCCTGCCATCAGTGGCTGAAGCAACAGTGACCCCTAATGGTTGCTGATGGAACCACAGCTTAGGGAAAAGGAATGGGGGAGGTTCTCTCCCTGACTGGCTAGTCCCTGAGGCCTCCAGCAGAGGAGAAGGGGGGATGCTCCACAGAGGAGCCCCAGGGGGAAGCCCACACCCAGCACAGCGCACGCAGGCACATCTGCACTCGCGTGGTGGGGTCAAGCCCTCTCCCGCCACCCACACCCCTACCTGCACAGTACTAGATATTGTGCCCCCAGAGGTCCTGGTCATCTAGATGTGAGATGCTGAAGGAAGGGATCAAAAGTTGAAGAAAAGAGGGCTTCAAAACGCTGTCTCTGCTCAATCTCTAAAGATGAGCAGGGGGAGCATCTTGTTGAGTCCCTGGGAGCACGGCCAGGGGGAGGCTCTCGGTGAGGCCCTGGGAGCATGGTCAGGAGCTTGAGAACAAATCTTCAGCTACCCCTGATGCCTGACAGAAGTAGGGTCTCAAAGAGGCTGCATGGCAAAGAGTTCCACCATCTTTGCTGTGGCCAAGGGACAGGAGTTCAGAGTGGGTGTGGTGAGGAGCAAGGGGAGCACCCAGCCCTAACTCAGGGGTATCCACCCTTCTCCAAAGCCAGAAGATTAACCCCTGCTTGGAACCTTGGCCAGTGGCAGACACTGCAGCCCTAATATTGGATACTGAGCGTTTCCCCATTCGGGTCCTGGGAAGGTAGGACATCTGGCCAGTTCGGCTTCTTGGACGAGGCCCCCACCACATTCCTCACTCCCACCACAGCAGGGAAGAGAAGACAGGGGGCCAGGGGAGAATAAAGTGCTGGGGGAGGGGCAACAGGGAGGCTTTTCCAGCACAAAGGTGCTGACTGAGATCCTAGGAGAGAAGGGATGGGTAGTGGCTCTCAGGGCCACAAGATTTCCCTTCCGGCCTCCCTCCCCACCAACACCCTCCAGGCAGCTCTGACTCTGAGTCACTAGGGCCTTGTCAGATGTCAGGATGGGAAAGGAGGAGTGTGAGGAGGTGGTGAGGGGAGAGACACAGGGGAGCCCAGACCGGGTCTGTGCATGCCAGAAAAGCTCAGGGCCTGCCCCACGAGCTCTTCCCTCCTCTGCCCACTTGTGAGCAACAACAGGGAGACTTTCTGCTTGGTCCCTACCAGAGATGGAGAAATAGAGGGCCACCTGGGTCCCCACCTGGGTCCCCACCTGTCCAGGTTGTGTCAAGCTGGTCCTTGTGCAGAACTGGCAGAGGGAAGGCAGGCGTATGGGGAAAGAGGGCGGATGGAGGATCCATGGAAGACTTGGTGGCGGCGGGGAAGAAATCCTGAGACTATAAAGAAGGCTCTCAAGAAAACGAGACAGGCCTCTTCCCTCTGGGAGGCAGAGGAAGGAGTGACTTCGCACAAAATGTCACACATCTTGGTGAGGCAAGAAGATAGAGGGGGGCAGGAGGGGGCAGCCGGCATCAACCCCCACACAGGAGGATGGAAGGGGCAGAAAGGTGACTTTCACTTTTTTGTGAAAGTCGGTGGGAGGGGCAGAGGAGGCAGGAGGCCTCTCTTGAAAACTGCCTTACCTAAGGGAGAGCCCCCCCACCCCCCATGAAGGAAGGTCAAGGGCTGAAATAAAATCTTGAAGGCCAAGCACTCTGTGAGCCACAGAGCACTACACAAATGCTCCTTGTTAAGCCGTTGTGGTATCATGTGAAAGATGCTGCAGGAGTGGGTTTAGCGCCGTGGAGCAGGGCGGGCACGGTGAGCTGCAGAGCGACAAGAACAGGCTACAAATGATACAAATCCTATTTTTTGCATTTACACGTACAAACTCAGAAAACTATCTGGAAGTGTAACTCTACAGCCAAGGGGTGGGAACTTGGACGGCATGTCTTCTGTTTGCTTATCTTCTCAGTATGTTTGTTAAAGAACGTACATTATTTATATGGTGAAAAACAAGCAGTCTCCTTTTAAGAGAAGCCTCCCAGTGTGGGTGGCTGAGGTCCGAGGCTTCGGATGGGCGAGGTCAGACCTGCAGGGCCCCGGTTCACCCTCTCTCTGCTTGTTTGGGTACCACAGAGTCTGATCCATGCATATTCTCCTCAAACATTGTTTCTTCCATGTTCTGGGCGGGGCCGAGGTCAGTTTTCATGAATGTAGGAACACAGCATGCTTCTGTAACCCCATGATGTCTTCTACCTGGAAAGATGTGAACTGGGAGGGAGATGGAGAAAAGCAGATAGTTCTCGGAGATCCTGGGCGACTCCAGGCCTAGCCCAAGGGAAGCCAACAGCTCTCCATTTGTGGTGTCTTTGGGACCACATAAAGTGAGGGCGCCTCCCTCCCCAACCAAGACAGGATACTCTCCACCTGCTCTCCCATGCCCCTTTCCGGACAGGTGCACAGACCTTCCCTCTCCTTGGCTTCCCACACCTGTCTAACTTGTCCTCCCAGGCTGAGTGTGGGCCACCAATATCCCTTGGGGCCAGCCGTGCCTTCTTTCCCACTGGACTCCCACCTTCCTTTCTTTCCCAGCCTGGAAATACCCATGGCCGGGGAGATGGCGGGGTCTCCCAAAGCTGCTCTTCCCCACTTACTCAGAACAGTATCTAATACCAATAAATCCTCATGCTGGCAAAGAACTTTCTATTTCCAAAGAGAGAGAGAGAGAGAGAGAGAGAGAGAGAGAGAGAGAGTGTGTGTGTGTGTGTGTGTGTTTAAAAATCTGCTTCAGAAAAAAAAATAAATAAAAAATAAATAAAAATCTGCTTCAGGAGCACCTGGGTGGCTCAGCAGTTGAGCATCTGCCTTCAGCTTAGGTTGTGAACCTGGGGTCCTGGGATCAAGTCCTGCATCAGGCTCCCTGCAGGGAGCCTGCTTCTCCCTCTGCCTGTGTCTCTGCCTCTCTCTCTGTGTCTCTCATGAATAAACAAATAAATAAATAAAATGTTTTTTTAAAAAATACTAAAAATCTGCTTCAGAGGGGATGATATCCATGATCTGAGAGGCCAAATGACCTGCCCAACATCACACAGCCAAGTCCAGCCTCTCCCACCCCCACCCTGCCAAGGACAGAGAGCAATCATCCTCTCCCCATCTTTTTTTTTTTTTTAAAAGATTTTATGTATTTATTCATGAGAGACACAGAGAGAGAGGCAGAGACATAGGCAGAGGGAGAAGCAGGCTCCTCACCAGAAGCCCGATGTGGGGCTTGATCCTCAGACCAGGATCATGCCCTGAGCCAAAGGCAGATGCTCAGACGCTGAGCCACCCAGGTGTCCCTCTCAGTCCCCATCTTTATCTCTAAACCTCATCTTCCCTGGCATGGCAGCCTTCCACTTCTGGCTGCAACCTGCCTTTCCAGCATCCTGACGTGCCCAGCCCAGTACAAACTCCACCTTTCTGCCGGCATGCCGCCTGTCACCTGGCCCATGCTCCCCTGGGACCTGCATCCAACTGTGGCCCATCCCCTGTCCCAACCTGTGGGCTGAGGCTCCTCTTCATGCCCTATGTGGTCTTGGCACCGTCCACAGTGCACTCTGCACCTGCTGCTATACAACCGCGGCGCTGGTGTCAGGAGTCACCCTGGGAAAACAGAAAGCAGGCTGTGTACTTCCACAAACACTGCTGAAGATAAGGGGTTGACCTCCCAGGGATGGGGGGCCGGAAGCAAAAAGGGAACACACCAAATAACCCTGATAACACAGGAAGAAGTTCCCACCTCTAGACTGAGAGAATGAGCAGGTGAGGTTAGGGTTGTCAGAGTCTAGAAGGGGGAGGGGGAACAGCACTGCTCAGCTAGGGTGGGAGTGACATGGACAGGAAGCAGACCGGAAGTGCAAGAACTCGCCCTCAGTCCCCCCCACCCCCCACCCCTGCCTGTTCCCCCCAGCAGACCTTCCTGCCAGCAGAACCTCCCAGAGACCTGCTAGCATCTGAGTCTGTGAAATGCTGTGAAATGTGGTTTGCAGTTGAAGGCCTGACAGCAGAGGCAGCAGTAAACAGGGAGAGGATGGGGGCTGGGAGACAAGGGGTGAGGGGCTGCCCCCCCCCCCCCCCCCCGTGTT